TAAAATCCAATTATTTTTAATCTCCTAATATTTATATTTGGAGCAACAGTTCTTAGTATATTTTTATTGTGAAAAATAACTGGTGAAGATTAGGTGAAGGAAGGCACAGTTAAGTAGAACCACTTTCAGGCTTTAGTGCTTTAGGGATGGGGGCCGAGTGTGGAGTAATACTCTTCGAGATAGAAGACCCTCTTCCCTCTGGTAGCTTCCTCCTTGTGGAAGGAAAACTGGCCAGAGTAGTAGACCTTGCTTCCTTGAATATTCTAGGTACCAGCTCTTTCTGCTGTCAACCTCCAAGACAATACCAGGAAAGTACATCACTGTGGAGTGTGACTTTATGCTTTAGAGCTTTAGAAAGAAACATAGGAAGAAATTAGGTACAATGAGGCTTAAAATTATCAAACTTTGTATTTTATATGTTTAGCCAAGAAGGAATGAGTACCTGAGGAAATAAATTTAGGGTCAGTATTTATCTTTTAAGGTTTTATTACCTGCTTCTCCTGTGTTTTAGTTTGAATATTTGGGCTTCTTGACCTGATTTACATATAATCTTAATTTATAAAGCTGTAAGGAGGATCATATTTGTTCTGATCTCACTCTTTGCTAAGAGAAATCAATCAGAGTTAAATTATACTAGATTTTTTAAATGGGCTCTTTTGTACTTTGTAGTTTTTGTGTTGTAAAGACCTCATTAAGGTCAGGTAAATTGGTCTGCTTGCTGTTGAAATTTGCCTTCTAGCAAACATCTGTGCTTTTGCTTTGACCTTGTATTTGCTGCCAAACCTAATATGGTTGAATTGGAAAACAGAAAAAGAAAGATATTTCCTCACCAAGTGAACATATTCTAATGCTGCATCAAAGCTGCCCTGAAGCTGCACTGACTGAACTTTTCTTGTTCTCTATATCCGTGTCGAGCTTTTTGAAAAAAACAAATGAAAAACTCAAAACACTATTGAGGCATATATGGTCTCCCATAAGAAATGTAGCATAATGTGGAACCTTAATTTCTCTCCGGTTGCAAGACTACAGAGGAATGCAATAGATAAGACCTATTTGCTGTTTAACTAAAGCAACTGTAATATTGGAAGACCAATCCTTCTGTATTTATATTGTATAATAGTTGCTAAAGCACTACTTGCATGTCTTCATGGTAAATTATATAAATATTTATAAATATATAGAGAAACATATGCTTATATAAACTCATTCTTTCTCATTCTCCATTTGTAATTTCAAGATCACAGATGGTGAGATTACTTTTTATTGTGTGCCTCGTGTACACTTGGGCCTTGCCTATCTTCATTTCTGAAAATCTGTTCTTGGCATGTGACACTTCAGATTCTTTTTGCCTTCCTTGTGTATGTGCAAAGGTTGGCAGTCTTCAACAGGCCAAGATAGGTTATTTAATTTTCATTTTTAAAAAATTTTGATAGGGGAAAAAATTACTAGGACAGCTTGTAATACTGATTCAGAGGTTTGTCATGTTAATCACATAATTCTCTCCTATGGTTAGAGTGGATAAACTGGGTTGATAATTATGGGTCTACCATAAATAGGTTTTTTTTTTTTAATCTCTAAAAAAATTACCATTCTGCTTTCCTCTTTTCATCTCACTTTGTCAGGGGCGGGGTGGAGGTAAGAAGTAATCTGTAATTAAGAAATTATCTCATTTTTCCTGTTGTATTAGCAAAATTGTGCTAAAAGTAGCCAGCTTTAAATCCTGACCCCTCTAATCAGAAATGTGCTTGTGGTAACTATTCGAAAAACTGATGAAGCTGCAAACTGTAGTAAGTGTGCTATTTTATTTCTTACTGGTACTTCTCTGCTAGAAGTTAAACCTGATAGTGATGACCAACACGGCAACTGAATGTTTTTTCTCTTTCTTGAGTCCTTCCGTTTTTCTCCCAACTTTTCCACTGTGTTGCCCCTTTTTCTCAATGGCACTGTCAAACTCAAGATCCAGAGAGAGAAAATTTTGCTGTGTAAGAATGTTTTATTTTGCACATAGAGAAAAAGAGTTAACCAAAGATATTTCTGCTCTGATACTTTCAAAAAAAGACTAATTATATCTCATGTATCAATATATCCACTTAAAAGGACTGTCTTGTATAGAGATTTACTCTGCTTTTTAAAAAAAAAAACTCTACGGTTTTAGATGTCTTGGGCTAAAAAGAGAAATTGGCAGCCCTGAGCAAAGCACTTTTGGCACAAGGGTTTTTGTTTTTATTTCTGTATGATACAGAAAATGAATTGGGTTTTGTTGTTATTGTTAGTTCTGTTTAAATTTATTTTTATTTATTTTTTAATGATGGCATATTTCACATTTCAGTGACATAGATCATCCAAGTAATTCTGAACCAGTTTGGTTATTCTAAGGTGAGGGACTTGGCTATCCTTTAAAGTCAAGCCAAACTATGTTAAGAGTAGTATGGGGAAGAAGTTAAAATTATCTTTTGAAAACCAAGTGCCTCCTAGATTCTTCTGTCACAACAAAATGGTTAGTTACCTTGTCACGCTTGCCCTTACCCTCCCTTGTCCAGTCTCTGGAATGGGTGGAGCAGAAGATGAAATTAGCCATAGCTCAGTCTCTTTAGGTAGCTTACTTCTAAATTATGCTACCAAATCTCCAGGGTGTATAGATTGTTTGAAATATTAAAATTCCACACAGCAGTCTTTTGCACAGCTTAAAGGCATTTTACTTTAACGTACAGTGAACAAAGAATGAAAATTGGGTCATATCAAATTTAACTGTAAAGCACAGATCATAAACATGCTTGAATGGTGAGTCTTAAATAGACACTGTTACTCTCAACTGTGGTGTGCAAGCTGGCCTTGCTGACAACAGCATAGTTACATTCTGTTTTTTAAGTTGCATGTTGTGAAGTGAAATTTTTTTTTTAAGTTGCCAAGTTAATCAAGTCCTAAATAACTAGCAAAATGGTAATTAAGACCCACTGTTGCCATTATCCACTCTATTGTTTGCTTTGAAACACTAAACAAATCTCAGCTGCTTACTAATCCAGTGGACCAGGGTGCGGTACCTCTTTCTCTGTCACTCTTAGCCACTACGGGAACTTGAGGTTCTTCTGTAATCATCAGAGATTCCTTCCAGGCCACAGATTTTTATGTGACTGTTTCTATGGTTATATTTAATTGACAAGGAAAAATGTTGTTGCATGTTTGATAAACCCAGACAGATAGTTAAAACCATAGCTAGTTTTTATATATCCAATAGCTTTGAATTAAAAACAGATGCTTCTTCCCTCAAGAGCAGAGGATTCTTTGTTCTAGAAACTACATTCTTAATCTAACATTAGAATTGGTGATAGGAGAAACAGGATCCAGAATTCAGAATTTAGTGGCTTAAGGAAAAAATGCATCTTACTTTGGCTACTTGAAAATACATTTATTTGTAGGTAAGTCTAGATTTAGCCTTGAAGGTCAAAATTTTCACATTTTAAAACTTTTTCATTCCTTGATATCAAAGCGTGACGTATGTTAGGGAACTGTTTGTTTTGTCATGTTTATATGTTTTGGAATTAAGTTATATGCATTCACTGTTTTAAAATCTGCCCATTTCTGTTTATGTGTATTTACCACACATGTGTTGGGACTTTGCCTAAAAGAGAGAGATTTCAGCACCTGTATCACTGAGGAGATAGAATGGTTGATGACAACTATGTTGTTTAATTTTCTTGAGTTTGGTACTATAGATAGTTGTTTGCAGAATAGTTCATCATCTGTGTTCTAACAAAGTTTTCAGGATTAAGGCCTGTAACCACTGTGGTAGTCCTCACATGTCAATATTCACCCAAGTTCAGAAATCACAGGTGCATATTTAGACCTTAACTTAGAGATGGGAACAAGAGGCAGTTCTAACCCGCAGACCATACAGAAAGAGTAGTTCATGGGAAACCCCAGGTGGTTGGTTGTTAGGATGTCCCACTTCATCCAGTAGAACTCTGGTATAGAATTCAAGGATGTGAGAGTAGTGTGGAAACATATCATTGGATATTCTCCAGAGTTTGGCTGTCTCTCTGGAATCATGAGAAATTTAAGCCAGTTAGATTCAGGAGACTGCAGAATCTGTTGCCAGCACTGCTAGGGAGAACTGCAGGCAATAAATGGGGAATTCTTATGGTTCTTAGGTAACTCCAGCAAATGGGACAAGGATCCCCCTATTGATTTAAAGGGAAATTTGGATGCTACACACCTCAAATTCTTGTCTGGACATGAAATGATTATATTCTTGACCCATCAGTATATTTTCTAGTTCAGTTGTGGTTATCTGTTCCAACTTTTAAAACATAAGCTTGAGGTTTAATTACTTCCCTTAAGCGGATCTGAAAATCAGAGTATGTGACAAGATCAAAGTCACCTTGACCTGATAACACAATCTTAAAACACTAAAGAGCCAAGTAGAAACCTTTACTCAGTAATTTGATGATTATTTCCATAGATTTTGCTGGATCCTTGGTCTTAAGGAGACATGTAAAGGAAGTGAAGCCTTTTTCTTCATTGCCCTGTGAAACTTTAACAGGATCTGCCTCTTTAATTGAAGTGACAGTATGGGCACAGTGTGTATCTCGGATACTCTGGGCCAGGGATTCTGGGTTCCTTCACCGAGAGAATAGGATTCCATGAGGCAGACCTTTGAGCCCATGTTGAATATAGAACTTGCTGACATAATTTTACACACTCATGATAGGAAATTTTCTCTTTCTTTTCAGTAGTTTAATACATGTTGTGTACATAAGTGTTCACTCACCAAGTTAAAAACACTGGGTAAACCTAGTTTTTAATATAGACTACCCCTGCCATATATACCCCAAAAAATATACACTTCAAATCCTTAAAAATTCCTGTATGGCACTTCACCATCCCTGGGGTCTGTCTGGGTGTTCTTCTCATTCACAAGGGATAAACAAACCTACCAGAGCTTGAATGTAATTTATTTTAGGGATCAACACAGGGAAGGGAAAGCCCTTGGGATTTTTTTCTTTTTAAACTATTCACCGGTTAGATAAATCAGTTCACTAATTCAGAAATACAAATAGAGGAAGCTAAAGGAAATATAACATGTACCACTGGGGCTCTTAACTTGGATTGTGTGAACTTGTGAACTGAGTAAAGAAAAGAACAGATGACCCAGGCTTGCGCTTCCTCATTTCTCATGCACAGTTCCTGGTTCCCCTCCTGACTCCTTTCCTAAAATAACCAACTGCTGATGTCACTGGGTCATTTACTTACAAGTTTACAGCTTTTAGGAAAAAAGAGTTGAGAAGCATCTAATTTTGAATTAAATGTAAATCTTGAAAGTTTCTAACTATTGGCATCTTTTAAATCAGATGGAACTGCAAACCAGAAGAATTCACTCATCGAGCAAGACAAGTTAGAGTAATTTAACAGTTCCATAGTTTTCTCCCTTTCTTCTCTTCATGAAGTCAGTGATGAGAAACTGCTCTTTGAAATACCTCCAAAGGTATTGTATTGTATCCCTTTCCCCTCCAATCAGCCCTCTTGATGCATTTTTGCTCAGGCAACCAAGGACATAGAGTATTGGCAGAAACATGAGTGCTTTTGTATAGGCCATCTGTACATAAAAGTGTAATTATTTATTTAATTTTCCCATTTGTATCATATTAAAGCTTTGTACAGTGTTTTAAGTTCTGTTTTAAAATTATTTTGTATTTTATTTTTATAATCTAGTAATAAAATATTCATTCCGCATGCAAACTCTAGTTCTGTTTGTGTGATGGTTTGGATTTCAGAAGTGGGAAATATTTTTCTAATTTAATAGTTATTGAATGCACCGGAGGTCACAGGATCAACAGGGAGCAGAAAGCGTTCTATAAATGCAGTACCACATCCAGAAGTGACCTAGAAAAAGAAGCACTGGAATAGAAACTAGGTATTCACTTTCCCCTGCAGACAACAACCAGGGTTCAGGGATGTGAGGAGAGGGTTCCCCATGTAATAAAATTGAAAGTGTTAAAAGCTCTCTTTCAACCCATCACTGTATCGCTCGTTGGAGGTATTTTTCCCTTCTCTGCAGGAAACGTCCCCGTATCACTGGAGTGATTTCTGCTTTCCAGCATCCCCTCTTTTTCACTGTCCTTTGAACCAAGGGAGCTCTCAGGAGGCTTTCACGCGGGCACTGCTTCACCCTTCCTGATTTGGTTTGGCCTGAATGTTAGTGCCATTTGTTTTTCTCAGCCCAATTTCCCTTTCTTGAGTTCTCAGTGAAGCAGCAACATCCAAAGAGATGATTCTCGTATTTTTTGAAATAAGAAAAATTAATAACAAGCTGCCAGAAACTAATCATGTGTATGCCTATTAACTGCTTAACTGCAAAGTAGCTTAACTATTAACCTCGTGTAACGTATAAGGGATAATAAAGACGGCGAATCTGTGTGCAGGGTGGCCTGGGGCATTTTTAAGGGTTGTGGGCTGAGGATCCTAAAAAGCCCCTCCGACTTAAATAAAGTCTTAAATGATCGATCAGTTGTTGGTGAGTGCTGGAAAACGAGTGGGCAGGGGACTCAAAACTCAGCTTTTGGAAAAGACAAGGTCAAAATGAAGTTAAGCAAAGTTTATCTTAATTTATCTTTAGGGTAGTGATGATTGAATATAGAAAACTTGAAAGAAAAGAATGTGCTTATCGTAGAAGATGTAAGCATCTTCTCCGGAGAATAGTTCACCTTTACGGTCCGGCCGCTCTCCCGGACCCTTGGTCTTCCCCGCCGCGTCTCCCCGAGTCCCGGCAGGTCACCCTCGGGCCAGGGCAGCCGGGGCCCGGCTTCACCGACAGCAGTACGCTGCACCTGGCGGACCACCGGGCCTCTTGTCAGGAACCACGGACCCAGCCACGGCCTTGAGCCAAGGCCCAAGTCTAGCCTCAGCGCGGGGAAGCCCAGCGGTCGGCGGCGGCCCCGGTCCCGCCCCCGGTTCCGCCCCTGGCCCTGCCCCTCCGCCCCGCGGCCCAACGGTCGCCCCGCGGCGCCGGCCCCGCCCTTCCCAGGGCGCCCGTGGCGCGCCGGCGCCTGCGCAGTCGCCTCAGAGCGCCCTGACCGGGATGGCGGCCGTTTTGGAGTCGCTGCTGCGAGAGGAGCTGTCGGTCGCAGCCGCTGTGCGGTGGATCGCGCGCAGCGCCCAGAGTTCGGAGGTAACAGCGCCGACACGCCCCCAGCCTGGCCTGAAGCTGTTTCCCGCGGGAGATACCGCTCCTCCCGTCCCATTCCTCTAGAGTGCCTGACTGTCAGCCGGGGCCGAGTGCGCTCCAACTAGGGGCCGCTGCCCCGGCCGCCCGCCACCCTCAGCGCGCCCTGCGGCCCCGGCTGCTCGCGGCCCCGGGCTGGCTGCTAACTGACTCTCGCTCCTCGGCACTTCTCCCTCAGGATGACCCCGGGGAGGCGGCTGCGCTGAGCTCACTTCGGCCGCTGCGGAAGGAATTCGTGCCATTCCTGCTGAACTTCCTGAGGGAACAGAGCAGCCGCGTCCTCCCGCAGGGCCCCCCAACCCCCGCCAAGGCCCCGGGCTCCTCGACAGCCTTGCCAGGGAGATCCGGGGGCCCGCCGCGGGGCGGCCGCGGAGCGCGCAACCAGCTCTTCCCTCCGATCGAGGCTTCGAGCGCCACCGCCGCTGACGCCCCTTCGGCCCGCCGTGGGGGCAGGAGGCGGGGCCCGGGGCCGGCCCGCGAACGAGGAGGCCGCGGCCCCGGGGGCCTGGAGGAGGGGGTCAGCGGGGAGTGCCTGCCCTGGGCCGGGGGCCGAAGGCCCAGGAGCTCTGGCAGCCCCAGCAGCCCCAGCCTCGCGCGCTCTGATCCGCCAAACCTCAGCAACCTGGAGGAGTTCCCTCCCGTGGGTTCCGTTCCTCCCGGCTCTGCAGGGTGAGAATCAGCCCTCTTCTAAAAGATGGCTCTGCTAGGGGAGTAAAAAATTATGACTGGGTGCTCTGTAGTAGAGCGTGGTAATTACAAGAAAGTTGGGGGTGAAATATCTACGTGGTGAGGGGCATTTTGCAAGGGGTGCTAGATATGGTGGAGGGAGAGATGCTTGAAGATGGGAATTAGGAAAACCTATGGCTACTTTTCAACAGGACCAAGCCTTCCCGCAGGATCAACCCAACTCCAGTGAGCGAAGAGCGATCACTTTCCAAGCCCAAGACTTGCTTCACCTCACCCCCAATCAGCTGTGTTCCCAGTTCCCAACCCTCAGTCCTAGACACTAGCTCTTGGGGCCATGGGCTTCCTTCAGGGTGCAGAAGTCTGCAAGAGGAGCGGGAGATGCTCAGGAAGGAGCGGTATGGCCTTGCTGCTCCTGGGGATGACAGCTTCCTCTGTGGGGGATTTGCATGGCTCTTCCCTGTTTTTAATTTGTCTCCTGGGAACCCTGGGTCTGTTTCCTGGGCTGTGGACATGTCTCTAAGGAACCTGAGTGTGGCTGGGGAGGAGAAACCATGCTGACTGCTCATGACATTTCTCTTTCCCGGTAGCTCTAAGCAGCTGCAGCAATCACCTGCTCCTGCCTGTCCCACCCTAGAATCAGGGTCTCCTCACCCCAGCCGGACAGGACACCTCACGGCTGAACCCGCTGACCCTGCCAGAGTATCTTCCCGCCAGCGTTTGGAGCTGGTTGCCCTTGTCTACTCTTCATGCATTGCAGGTGAGTGAGAACAAAGAGCCCTGCAATGAAGACACTTCTAGAACTACAGGGTAAAAAAACTGATAAGGTGTGTAGAACTGAGCCTTTGTTTTGACTGGCCTTCAATACCCTGAAATTTCCTTTTTAACCAGAGAACCTGGTACCAAACCTCTTCTTGGAGCTTTTCTTCGTCCTTCAGCTCCTTACTGCCCGGAGGATGGTGGCTGCCAAAGACAGTGACCTTGAACCAACTCCAGGAGCTGTAGGTTGGTGAACAAGCCTCTTTTTGAAAAATCATGTCTGGAAATGAAATTGTTTTTAACCAACAGCTTGGTACTGTCCTTCTAGATTCCCTGGAAAGCCCTCTGTTCCAGAGTGTCCATGATTGTGTCTTCTTTGCAGTGCAGGTTTTGGAACATCAATTTCAGTAAGTTTCCCCAGCTGAAGCATTTGAACCTTATTTGCATTATTCACTTGATTCTCTGGCTGCTTCAGGAACACACTTGTGCTTGACACAGATGTAGTGACCCTAGACCTTCTCCTACGTGTGACCTTCAGTTTCGTGTCACAGCTATGAATTTAGTCCTTGAAAGAATCAAACTGCCCCCAGTGGTCTTGGTAGCTGACCTTTGGGTTTATTTACTGTTTCTGCTTTGCTCATTAGCTGCTCCATAGTTTCTCATTTCCTTTCCCTTTGCCTTTATCATCTTTAATCCTTGGCCCTTGACTTTCCTTCATGTACCTACTCTGTGCTGCAGGTAACACACTGTGTGGTTTGCAGATGCCAGCTGCCTATTTGCAGTCTGTCCCATTCTCAGTCATGTGTGCTCTTATCCCTGTAGCATTCTTTCCCACCTGGACAAAGGGACATTGAAGCTGTTGGCTGAGAACGAGCGGTTACTGTGTTTCTCACCGGCTCTGCAAGGCCGCCTCCGAGCTGCCTATGAGGGCAGTGTTGCCAAGGTAGTGACCCCATCTTAGACATCTTCTAGCCTGGCCCTGGCCCTTCCCAGTCTCATGATTCAGGTGGCCCAGCTCACACCACTGTAGTGTCATGTGGCCTAAAACTCTGGACTAGATTATGGGGACAAAGTTTTCGGAGCACGAACTCTGCTTTCAGTCCCTAATGTTACTGCCATGTTTTAGGTCTCTCTGGCGATGCCACCTTCTGCTCAAGCTGTCTCCTTTCAGCCAGAAACTGACAATCGTGCTAACTTCTCCAGTGACCGAGCCTTTCATACTTTCAAAAAACAGAGGTGATAAGAAAAGGGGACTTTGGGGGAGGGGATGAAGCAGCATTTTCTCTGGGATAGGCAGCCCATGTTATTTTTGTAGAAACTAGGTGTTCGGCACCAACGGTTATAGTTTAGCACCACCAGGCCCTTCCTAGCAAACATCTTAAGAGCCACTTAGCCTCATTCTGTTTCATGCCCATGGACTTGCACCTCTGACAGTAGCAGCTTTCTCGCAGGTGTAATGACTTTGGTCACAGGGTTCTCAGATGAGTGCCAGATCAGCCTTAACTGCCCACAGAAGTATGTGAAGCATGTGGTGTACTGCTCCCGGGTCTGTGGGATTATCACATAGAGAACCTTGGAGAGGATAAGGAATGGAGCTGTGAATGGTCCTGTCCTCAGTTCTGAGCGTGAGAGTGAGTTAGGCCAACTGTGCTTCAGTTGATCAGACATCTTAATGTGTCTGCCAGGGATGTGTTTTACGAGGTACTTCGAGAGTGGGAAGACCGCCATGAGGAGCCTGGCTGGGATTTTGAGAAGGGCTTGGGCAGCAGGATCAGGTACGTGCTCATACACTGGTCACTTTCTCTTGCTTCTAGCAGTCAGCGACTTAGTGGTGTTTGGGTGACTGGTTAGAGAAAGGCTTCTCTCCCTACCCCAAACTCCTAGCACAAAGCTGTTTTCTGTCTTCCTTAATCTCTTAGTTACTGCCACCTCTGCCTCTCCTCAAAAGGGATTTGTCTCTCCAACATCATCTACTCAGAAATCATTTATACTTGCTCTGTGATTGCAAACGATTGATAAAGCGGAACACTGTTATTTCAGGTTGCATGAGTCTTGGCCTGTCACAGGCTTAGACCCTTCCCAACCTCTATTTTCTCCATCGTCTAATCTGATGGTACAGATAACTTTGCGCAGCTGGATAACTGGGATACAGAAAGAATATGCTCTTGTCTGGCAGTCTCCCTTCACCTTGGTCATGAAGCTCACTGGCAGTCAGTGTAGACTGAGGATGAGAAGGGTGGTCTTATTTCATGTTTGGCTAAATGTAAGGTTAAGGGCTTCCCTGGTGGCTCAGATGGTAAAGAACCTGCCTGCAATGCAGGAGACCCAGATTCTGTCTCGGGGTTGGGAACATCCCCTGGAGAAGGAAATGGCAACCCATTCCAGTATTCTTGCCTGGGAAATCCCAATGGACAGAGAAGCCTGGCAGGCTACAGCTCATGGGGTCGCAAAGAGTCGGACATGACTGAGTGACTGACAGTTTCAGTAAGTGTATCTCTAGCCTTGAGGGATCTTGGTGCTAAGGAAAGTATCCCTGACCTCGTCCCATATCCTTGTGCCAGTCAGCTCTGGCAGAAGGCTGCTCAGGCCCCTGGTAGAGGGCTGAAAGTCTCAAGGATTGGCCTGTTCTCTCAGATCTTTCTCCCCCTCTTCTCCCATCACACTCCATCCCTGCCTCTTATTCCTCAGAGCCATGATGGGTCAACTCTCTGCAGCCTGCAGCCACAGCCATTTTGCTCGACTTTTCCAAAAACAACTTCTCCAGGTAATTGCTCCAGCAGGAGATCTGTATCCAGTGGACAGTATGTATTATAGGTGCCAAGGAATGGCTGGCACTTTGGGATAGGCCAGGAGAACAGGCAGGTCCTTGGCTGAAGAGTGAACAAGAGTTCTGCTCTTTGGGTGGTGGTTGAAACTTGGGAGCCAGAGCGCTCTCACGCCCTACACCTCCTGCCTCCGTGGGCCCCCTCACACACCTGGCTCTCCTGGCCCTCCTTCTGTCCCTCACTGTTTTCTTGCCCTTGCTTTGTGATGTGGTAGAAAGAGCACAGGGTCAGGTCTGGTTTCAAATCCTAGCTCTCGTGACCCTATGCAGATGTTGAATCTTAAAATTTCAGTTTCTTCACCTGTAAAAAGAAGAATATAACGCAGACCTCAAAAAATATATCTATGGCACACAGTATAGGGTGGGCATCCTATATTGTTCACTGCTTCCTCATTTT